GCGACGGCTAGGAGGCTCGGACGACGACGCTGAGCGGCGACGCCGGCGTTTGGCGTGGCGGCGCTGCACCCGTCGGCGATGATGGCGGCGGCTACTGGCGAAGGAAGCAGCGGCGGCGCTAGGCGGCGACTGCTCCAATTGGACGGCGACGACCGGCGGCTGGCTCACGGCGGCGATGCTGGCTGGGTTAGACGAAGAAGAAAGAAGAAGAAGGAGAAGAAAGAAGAAGGACGAAGAAGAATCGAAGAAGGAGAACGGGAAGAAGAAGAACGAACGAAGATAAGATAAGGATTGTGTGGCTGAGGTTTAGGTTTATTTAATGGTCCCATTCCAAAAAGGATTGGGCTTCGGACCCAAAATACCTGATTAAATGGTCATAACATGAGCTCCATAACTCCGATTCGCGAGCCGCCTGAACCGACGCGATCACAAAAATATTTCCTACGAGATGACATAAAAGTTGGGCTTAAAATCCAAATTATAATTTTAACCCCTTTTTAGGCCCAATTCGTAATCAATTGCTCTAACAATTTAATTAATTCTTTTGGGCCAGATTTCGGGGCGTTACAATGCCTCGACCTCATGTCCTGTTTTCCCACAGTGGCTGCACACAAGCTCTTTGATCTCCATCTTATTCTTTACGGCAAACACAGATGCACTCACTTCACTGCTTTCTCCTTTGTGCATACCACTTCGTACCGTCTCGTCTTGGACAAGAATATTGTATATTCTTGCCACTGGTGGTATGATCTCTTGAGCCAACAGATTTGACCTCAAAGCTCCATATAAAGCATCGTTCAAACCCATCAAAAATTGATGAGAGCGTTCCCTCTCACGCATCTGCGTAAGTTTCTCTGGCAAATCACACGTGCAATTCCTACACGTACAAGTCGGAAAACTTTCCAAATCTGCTAGATCATCCCATAGCTTCTTCATCTTCCCATAATATTCCATTACAGAAAGATTCTCCTGTTTGCATTCCGCCAAGTCCCGCTTCAGCTGCTGAACCCTAGGTCCATTAACTACAGAGAAGCGGGCTTTCAGTTCATTCCACAGATCTGAAGCTTTCTCCATGAACGATATGCTCGATCTCAGGGTTGGATCAATTGTGTTCCGAATCCAAGAGACCAAAAGCAAATGGTTCGTCCACCAATCATCAAAATCTTCATCTTCAAGATCAGGCATCCCGATTGTCCCATCAACAAATCCAAATTTCTTGCGTGCTCGAAGAGCCAAGCGCAGAGATTTGGACCACTCATCATAATTATCTCCCTTGAGAACAACATGGGTCAAAATCATACCCGGATTGTCACTCGGAGATAAATCATAAGGGGAGATACGACGACGTCGCACCCCGACCTCCTCCTCCTCTCGTTCTTCATTCTTCTTATTGGAAATTATCTTCATCGGTGTTTCTCCAGACATACCAGATGACAATGTTCAAAATTTGAATAAGGAACAACAGCGATTGAGGATACTGCCGTCGGGACGGTCGATGCCTTCGACCGTTATGCAAGCACGGTCGACCGTTCCGGTCTTCTTCAGCAGCAGCAGCAGCAGCAGCCAACGATCGATGGACGCGATGCCGGGCGATCATGAACAGTAACTACGAAAATTCCTAGAGTTTAGGCTCTGATACCATGAAAGAATTGTTTAGGATGAAAATCTCTCGTATTATTTCTGTGTAAATATACATTCATGAGGGTTACATATATAGTGTAGAGTCCTAGGTAATAAAGGAAACTCAATCATCTCTATACAAGGAAACTAAATCATCACTATACAAGGAAACTACTAAAATAATATATACGAAAATATCTCCCAAATCTTCTCAATCTTCTCTTTCCTTTTACATTGTTTCTTGGAAACTCTTGAGGGCCAAGCATGTGAATGGTTCTACATGCTACCAGAGGGATCCATCGACAGGTGGAAGGATTTTGCAAATAAGTTCCTAGAACACTTCGTGGTAAATTGTGGCCAAAAATTTCCATATTCCCATCTGTTGAATGTCAAGATACGAAAAGGGGAGCGGCTCTAAGATTTTATCGCTGATTTAGAACAAGGCTAAGAACACGTCCTTGATGTTGTACATGAAGAAGGTGCAATACGCCAAAGTGAAAGACTCAAACAAAGTTTGTAGTCAATAATCACCTGTATGTCTTTTGATCAATACATATAGGGCACACTTGTGTAGTTGATTGTAAACACTACAGTGATAGAGAAGAACCTATGTTCATCTCTTAAGAGATATTGTGCTATAACATCATTTTAGTGATTAGTCTTTTATATTTTTCCTTAAGTTAAATCTATGATTAGAGATTATGTGTGTTGATAATCTTTGTTGCATCCTACAAACTTTCACAACAGACATATTTTTATCACTTCACGTCATACATCTTTACATTTTGTCAAGTCTCAATGGCCTAATACAAATGAAAAATTTGCTCCAAATAAGACTAAAAGGTAGTACGTTTTCTGAATAAGACCAAATATGTTTTATTCCCTTCATGAGACATAATTCCATATGGTCTGCCATATATACCCTCATAAGCAACAAATATATTGGATAATGACTGATTATATGAATGACTACGAATATGGTCATTAACAACAAGTGTTGAATAATGACTGATTATTTCAATGACTATTCAAATCGTTTTTAATAATATCTTATTCTACTTGAATTGTGTAATTGGTCATTTTTCTCAAAGGCAGAGCATTTTTAAACTTTCCAGTGCCAAACGTTAGAATTATTAAGATTGGTCCTATTTAGAGAAAAGTAAAATGTTTAAGTCTCATTTGTGTAAATCTCCCAATACAAATATATGTATGAAAAAATAGCTCTAAATATAACACAATAATAATCCTCTGATGCTAAATCACAACCCCGCAGTAAACGGCACGCCGGTAGAAGGCAACCAAGTCTCTCCGGCGATAAGGTTCGACACCGTAAAATTTGAAGCGACCTCGGATTCCGTAATAACATGGTACCCAGGCCACTTCACCCGTAGCGCGGTGGTGGCTCCGGGCCCACTATTCATGTACTCGCCGTAGTACAACGTGGTCAAAGCGAAATCCGAGTTTCGCCAGCGTAACCAACCTTGTGGATTCACATGATCATCTATGTAGCTCTTTAGGACAACTGTCCTAGAGTGCCTCTGCCACGGTCGTCCCAAATAAGTCTGGTAAGACCGTGCCACTGGGCGAAGGTCCGGGCCCGCCGTTATGCGGCAATTGTGGATGGAAATCCCCGTGTTCTGGTAGGGGTCTGCCCGGCCTTGGGCAGTGACGACGTTGATTTGGCCCCACAGAGGCTTCCGAACGTAGAAGGTGCAGTCTTGCAGCACCACCGCCGCGTTGCCGAAGACGAAGTCGACTGTGCCGTAGATTTGGCATGATTTGTAGAACTGACGTTGGGCGAGCACGAAGAGAGTGTCTTGGTAGCCCTCGAAGCTGCATTCGTAGAAGACGGAGAGATCGGAGGCGGAGCGGAGAGCCACCGCCTGCCCTCTTTGTGGGCCTGCCGTGTTCTGGAATGTGATGCCACGTGCCATGAACTGTGGACCATCCACACCTGGTCAATGATATTTGGTTGAAGTTATTTTTAAATTATTTTATATGAAAAATAGTATGAAATTTTAAAGTAAAAATAACATATTATAAAACTATATCAAAAGATCTTCGAAACTAGAGGTGACATGACTGTATTACTTTATCAAAGGGGTAACGAAAATAAGTCAACAAAGTTAATAAAGTTTGACCATGTAAATAGTGAATGAAAAATTTTATTGTGGAGGGAGGAAGTAAAATTTTTGTAAATCTTAGATCTACGATAAAAGCATTCACTTATACAAAAAAACAACAATAACTAGTGATACTTTTATAAACTTTTGCCAAAAAACAATTAAAAAATAGCATATATCTCCTACGTCCCACGATATTTGACATTTTCACTATTCAAAAATCACTAAAACTTTTATTTTGTAAAAATGTTGATGTACTTCTTAAATACTCGGTATGTAATTTTTTTAATTTTTACATCAATTTTTAGATAAAACAAATTTAAAAAAATTTGAGATTTTTTCTTCATTTTACATAAAATGTTTTACGATTGGAGGGTGTGTAAATAAGGAGTATTAAATAGGAAAATGCTAGGGTGTCTCCACATGGATGCTACCATGGGTGCATCCATGCTTCGCACAGACAAACACAGACGATAATTGTCTGTGTCGCACAGACAATTATCGTCTGTGTTTGTCTGTGCGAAGCATGGGTGCACCCATGGTAGCACCCATGTGGTGGCACCCTAGCATGGTCCTATTAAATATGATATTAAATTATATGTGTGTGTACACATACCAAAAGTTGCGCTACTGTAAGTGGTGTAGTTGCCGCCGACGCTCCGTTCTCCGGTGATAATGGTTTCGTTGTAACCATCGCCGATGAGCGTTATCCTACTCATCGAACTGCTTATCACCACGTTCTCCTTGTACACACCTTTTTTTATATAGATAACCACCCTTCTATTACCCTTTCTTTTCGACGCCGTCGTTGAGTGATCTATGGCGTCCTGTACCAACCGGAAATGACCCGTTCCGTTCTTGGACACTATAGAATCTGCCCAAGATTCCAACGACGGCATCGAACTTTGTAACAACCGACGCCCACCGGGCGTTACCCAACTTGGGAATTTGTCCCCAATGGTAGGGGTGGTGGTGGTGGTGGTAATGGAAGATTGGCGGTGTTCGCCCATCAGAGCCCCGTTAACCGCCAAGCTATTGCTGATAAGCTCGGAGATGTTTGGGGAGACGATGGGCCCCACAACATCGTATGAGACGTTTACTTCAGCACAACCAGACCGACACGTTTCAATGTTGGTCAAGGCTGTGCTGAGCCACGTTTGGGTGTCGGAGTAGGCACGTAATGTCGACGGGGAGTCGGACCGAAAGCTTTCGAGGGTGCGGTTCAATTGGAGAACCGTGTTCTCGATCAGCTTATGGCAATCCATCTGAACCATGTTATCGAACCTACCAATTGAGTGATCGGGTCGGACGTCGTCTAGTATCGTTGCGGCGGTTTGTTGCGTTTCTAGAGCTCTCTCAAGGGCAACTCGGACCGCCATGTCCCGAAACTTGAACCGGCATCTCGGCTTAAAGTTGCGGCCGAAGCGACCCGTCATGTGGTGGCTGCATGTCTCCGGGTGAGTGGTGGTGGAGCACCACCAGTAAATATCACGGTCGTCTCCTCCTTGCAGAGCTGCCGCTGCCTCATTAATATTGTCAGAGGGAGCGGCAGGAAACGACAAGGAGGAGATGATCAAACAAGTGAGAAGGGATCTAAACATGGAGACAAATGTTAAGGAACTGCAAGTAATTTTTATGAGGGTTTGATGTATTGTTTGATGATTTGATAAGTGGGAATGAATGAAATATAATGAACTGTCATCAGCGGACAGTTGTTTAGTTGGCCTTACGTTGAAATGGTAAGTGGATCGAGTAAGGTTCAATTCTTGCATAAAGAAAATAAAATTAATGTTTATGGACTTTTGTAGTAATAATAATAATAATATAAGATATATTTCAACCGACTAAAATTCAACGAGCTGAGCTAGCTTCGCATAGCATGCGTGCTTTAATTAAATTAATTAATGTCAATGGCCCTGCGGAGTCAGTGAGTCATTTTGTCCGAAAATGATACTAATTATTTTTTAATTTTTGTTTGTCTCAAAATTTTTATTCAAATTATCTAAAAGAGTAAAATATAATCATTATTCATAAAACAAGTGAAAATAAACTAACAGATTTCATTGAAAAATTCTGATATGATTTATGTTATATTTAAAATTATTTTGTATCTAGTCTAATGTGATTTAAATAAGAAAAAGTAACAAAATTAATGGAAAAGAATAAACTCTCATTAACTAATGCTTTCTCTATCCCAAAATGAGGTTCCGATTCCATTTACGATATTTGACTACAAAAATTCTAAATCAATATAAGTAAAAATTTGTGTGGAATTAAAAAATTATATATATATGTATGTATGTATGTATGTATGTATGTATGTATGTATGTATGTATGTATGCACACACCACACACGTGTGTGTGTCCGCGTGTATGTGAGAGACTCCTATGTGTGCATGTGGTGTGACCTAAAAGGGTGCAAGTGAACTCAAAAATACTCCCGTATTAAAATTCAAGAGAGTTTTTATATTTTGTAGCTGTGAGCACGATTTGTGACCGTCAATGATACTACCGAAATCTATCATGAATCACTCTTATTTAAACGGTTAGGTATCGGTACGCGATGAACTCCAAAATCATTCGGTATCATTCTATTTTGAAATAGAATAATACAATATCATACTCATGCTCAAACCGTGCCAAAAAAAGAACGTACATTATAAATCTATAAGTTTATACTCCCTCCGTTCTCAAAAACTCTTCATCTTTCATTTTTTTACTTCCAACAAAATACTTTCACTTTCTACTAAAAAACCACTTTTACCCTTACTTTTTCATACCCTACCTATCACATTATACTTTTTCTCTAATACTCAATCCATCACATCTTACTTTTACCCACCACATCAAGGGCAAAATTGGAAGTCAACTACAATTTAATACTTCCTTATTTTTACACAAAGTCAAAATAGGAACACATTTATAGAACGGAGGAGTATAAAAAAACAAAACTTTTTAAATATAAGTATTTATTTCAAATTTTAACGGATCATAAACATAAACAATAAAAGATAACCACTCCAAATTCAAAGAAATAGTTTCTTTTTTCAAATCATATAATATCGGACTATTAATAACTATAAAAAATAATGTCAATTGTAATTATAGATATAAGAACAACAATAATAATGAATGAATTAAAAATGAATAATAAAATAGGAAGTATTATATGAACGGTAAGATGAAGTAGACAAATACTCCATAATTATTTGAGATACGTATTTCGTATATAGCTTTAGACGCTTAAGCCCGTGATAATCGATTTTAAATATTTGTATGACTGCACGGTCCCGTCTCATTTGATATCAATCTGGTTTCGGTTTGAAAACCTTATAATAGTTCGGTATCATTACGCTCCGATATGTATGGTACCATGCTAGTTCGGTTTTTTTGTCCACTCCTAATATTATGGGCGAGATCTTGTTCTCATTTTCTTCCATTTGGAAATTTTAGTTGCTTCCACCAAGCATCAATACACTCATTTTAGACTCGGCCCACTAAGACAATCTTGTATGGTATTCACCCAGATGATCTGATACATGTGTCTGGTACTCCGCACTTCGCAATCGACTCCTGGACATAGGTTTGTCAGAAGATAGGCCCAACGTCTTTGGTCGGCCCAGACCGAATGGTGTTTTATGTTGTATTTATGGGCCTACATGACATTATTTCATCTATAAATAACTTCGTCGGCCCATGTGGAGGGGAATCTCATTTATCTTAAGTTTAGATAGCTTTAACTTGCTTGGTAATAATTTTTTTTGGAAAATGCTAAGGTGCCACCACATGGGTGCTACCACGGGTGCACCCACGCTTCGCACAGACAAACACAGACGATAATTGTCTGTGTTGCACGGACAATTATCGTCTGTGTTTGTCTGTGCGAAGCGTGGGTGTACCCGTGGTAGCACCCATGTGGTGGCACCCTAGCATGGTCTTTTTTACAGCACCTATTCAAGTTGGATTGTGCTATGTGTACCCCAAGATTTGTACCCCAATTTGTACCCCGCAGTTTTGCACCAACATTTTGTGTTGGTATAAAACTAATTTTTGTTAAACACACCAACATTTGTGTCCGTGTGAATTTTTATTAACGCACCAACACTTGTTTCGGTGTAAATCATCAAAATGTTTGTACAAACCTGTGGTATACAAATGAGGTATATTTGTTGGTGTAAGTGTAGCATGGTCCATTCAAGTTTCTACCCAATAATTGTACCGCTCTGTTTCCTGTCTGCGTTTTTTTCACCAGATCCGATATTTCCGTTACGGAAGTTTTCTTTTTCTAATGCTCCCGCACTTTTTTCTTCCTAGATGGACGGCGGAGGCGACGGTGATGTGGGGCGGAGCATGGAGGAGGTCGCCGGCAACGAATGAACCCTGCGGAGTCGCTGTTTTCTTACCTTAGCTTCAACTCTTTGTCGTTCTCATATTTTTCGGTTTCCTGCAATTTTTTTTTGCTTTTAAGAAATTATTTTTTAATAAGAGCAAAATATGGAAAAAATATCGTTATATATTTTGAATCGAAACATCGAATAGGAGTTAACTCTTATTATTTTAAGGTGTGTTTGCTGAGCAAATAAGATATGAATTTTGATATCTCCAGATATTAGAATTCTCTTTGGATGTTTGAGGATTTCGATATCTTCTGAATTTGAAAGATATCATTTCAGATTACAAAACTCATATCTAAAATAAAATCAATATAAGTAATACTCTCTCTGTCCTATAATTAAGTTCTTAGCTTGACTTTTATAGTCAAAACTTTTAAACCTTGACAGCATATTATGAAGAAAATACATTGAATTTTAATATGAATTTTATCAATATATTTATTTTGAAACATTGTTTTGAAATATGTATTTTTGTAATATATATTCATATAAAACTAGAGATATTGCTGGTCAAAATGTTATATTAGAGACCATGAAAAGTCAAACTAAATGAAAAATTAATTTTAGAACGTAGGGAGTACAATTTTTATTTTTTAATTCTACACCAATAATAAATAAATTTTATAAAAAAAATCAGCCGAATATTATAACCTGAAAAGTGACAAAAAAAAAGCAAGACTTAATTTGCCATTAGTAAATAAAATAAAAACTTACCCTAATTTTGAAAAAGATGAAACTCCGTACTCTTTAAATAATAAAACAATTATAATTGACTTCAAATGAGTAGTATATATACACACACATCATACAAAGGTGATAGGCCGTAGTGATCAAATTTGTGGTTTGAGAAACTTTAAGAATTTAATTCTCTAAAGATAGTATTATTTAATTATGAAACCTTATTTGCTCAAAGTAGTGGCATTTCTTGCCCTTATAACCATTTTAAGGGCAGCCGATGTGAAGGGGCATGATTATGGCGACGCCTTGTCAAAGAGTATCCTATTTTTTGAGGGACAAAGGTCCGGTAAACTGCCCTCCACCCAGCGCATGACTTGGAGAAAAGATTCTGCCCTCCACGACGGTTCTGATTGGAAGGTAATATACGGAGTATATATCTATATATTACTCCGTAATAAAACTAGTAGCAACATTTGACTTTTAAAAAAAACGTAAAATATCAAATGAGAAGAACATTTTCGGACGTAGCGAGGAAATAAATGCATCAATTTCTTAATATGTACTCCGTATGTTCTAAGTCTATATATGAAAAAAAAATAAATGAGCGAAATGATTGTTGTTTAACTCATTGATGTATAAACATATATGCCGAATGTATATAAATTAATTACCGTTTATTGAAATGTGAAATATAGAAACAAGTTAATCATACGTTTTCCATGGTGAAGAACAGGTGGATTTGGTAGGGGGGTACTATGATGCCGGAGACAACGTGAAGTACAGCTTTCCGATGGCGTTTACCACCACAATGTTGGCATGGAGTGTGGTGGAATACGGCGGCGGCATGGGCGGCGCCGAGTTGCCCCACGCACTCGAGGCGATACGTTGGGCAACCGACTTTCTGATGAAGGCTACGAGCGAACCGAACGTAGTTTACATCATGGTGGGCGACCCGAATAGCGACCACAATTGCTGGGAGAGGCCCGAGGACATGGACACTCCTCGGACCTCTTACCAGGTCAATGTAACCGATCCGGGCTCGGAGGTTTCTGCTGAGATCGCCGCCGCCCTGGCGGCTTCTTCCATTGCTTTCAAGGATTCTGAGCCTTCTTATTCCAAGTCCCTCCTTCAAAGGGCCGCACAGGTTCATTATATTACTAGTTCTATTGAGGATATTTATAACTATATTAAGGCTAAAATAACGTATACTCCTGCCCCAAAATTATTAATTACTCTTCCTTTATTAAAATTGTTTCTCTTTAATTAAGAGTTTCATTTTTGGAAAACATGACAAATATATCTAAATTAAGTCGTTGCAGTCTACTTCATTCGATTTACATTGATATTATAAGTCATTTAAATGATTTATCTCTTTCTTTTCTCTGATGATAACAATTTAATTAGAAAGTCAAAGTACGAAATAAATCTCTCCCAAGTCAAAATGAGATTTGTTTAATATATACGGTTTTTAAGAGTAGTAAATGTTATAGAAATTTGATATTCAAGATAGTATATCAAAATTACATCTTAAAATTAATTCAACTATATACTACTCTGTAATAAATATTTTTTCTACAATTTATATTTAAAGAGTTGCAATTTGTTTTTTTACAAATATAATAATTCTAGGACAAGGAAGTATATATGAGAAAATTTGTTGTTTCTTTCTATGTATAGTCAATTGATTTTGGGTAAAATTAAATTTCACGATTTTTGCATTGATTATTGTATGGTGCGCGTGTTTTTTAAGGTTTTTGAGTTTGCTGATAAATTTAGAAGCTCATACAACTATAGTACAAAGGCAGTTTGTCCATTCTATTGCGATTTCAGCGGCTATGAGGTAATTACTAAAAATAACCTAATGTCAATTCATAATTACGTACTCCTTTTGTCTCATTCGATCACTAAAAATATTACTAATTGTTATGGTAGCGTCAAACATTACTACAGAATCATACATTATTTATTTTATTTGGTAATTTTGAGGAAACACAACAACATATTCTTTTTCGTTTCTGTGTGTTTGTCCAATTTTGATCTTTTATAGTCGATCAAAAACAGAGGTGGTAGAAATAAATTTACATACACGAGAACTAGAATTTGAATTTCAAATCTAGATTTAATCCAAATTTTATATTTGAGGAATTTTAATATTTTAGATTTGGATTTGAAGTTAATTTTACTGATTAAGTACATTTTGCAAAGCTCAAATCCATATGTCTCCTCTTTTTACTTAAAAATTAAGAATTTAAACTTTAGAATTCAAACAAAAGAATTGAGATGAAATACTAATTTTCAAATACTACGACATAAACCAAATTGATTTATTCCAAATAAAATTGGATTGGTAGGACGAATTGCTATGGGGAGCAGCATGGCTCTACAAAGCCACAAATGATGTACGACATTTGGGTTACGTGACCAAAAACATAAATAAAATCTGGACGGCCGGAAGTTCGTTTGGATGGGATAGTAAGCACGCCGGCATTAATGTCCTCCTCTCCAAGGTTATTAAAATAATCTCCAAGTACTTGTGTAATTAATAACACTTGAGTTTTAGTTTGAAAAATATTTTTTTTTTTTAAAAAAAAACATGCAGTATGCTCTAAGTGAGGGGAGCAAAAACAATCTTCCATTCATTTCCAATGCAGATACACTCGTGTGTGCGGTCCTTCCGGAATCGCCTCTGAGTCGCGAGACGTTCACTCCCGGTGCGTACCTCTTCTCGGAATTGTGTGGACATTTTAATGAGATGAATGGAATCTAATGAAATTGTGCGAGCCATCGATCAGACCATGACTTATACGGAGTATTTTCATAAATTTTCATTTCGTTTGAGTTTTCATAGTATTCAATGCAATATTTTTATCATTAATATTTTTATTTATAAAAAATAATAATATTTCAAAAGGGTGTTTCAAAATTAAATTAACACTACATATTAGTAATATTACATTTATAATGTGTATGATAATTAAATGTATTCTTTTTTTCATCAATGGGAATGAAAATATCATCAAATGGACATACATTAATTAATTATTTTTTTTTGCATAATGCATGGGGTGCATGCATGCAGGAGGACTGATATACCAAAAACAAATGGTGAGCATGCAACGACCCGTATCTTTGTCGTTTCTTTTGGTCACGTATGCGACTTACTTGGGACAGTCCAAACGGACCACTATTGACTGTGACGGCAAAGCTATTGCAACTTCCAGGCTTATTGAGTTTGCCAAATCTCAGGTGATTTAAATTAATTACTCCGTATATTATTAAAAACAAATTAGCACTTTTCTTCTCCATTATATTCGTCTCATCACAATGTAATCATATTGCGATTGTACTTAGTTTCATTACACTCCTATTTAGTGATTTAAACTACTCCCTCCATCTCTTTTCAAATTTTTTTCTCTTCTTTGACTTTTAGAGAATTTAAAATAGATGTATTTTTGTGTTGATTTTTCTAAAATATCATTGATGCAATGGGTAAGAAAATAGAATGAGATTGATAGAAATTTCACTTAATAAAAAGGTATAATATGATAGGTATGGTTTAGAATTAGTAGGAATAAAAATGATTTCACTACTATTACGTACTACAAAAAAATTCAAATCAAAGTCTTCATTTGCATCGGTTTCAGAGAAAAACTATATATCAAATCGACTACCCCATTTTGGAACACACTTTTTGAATCGTTAATTACAAAATAAATGATTCAAAAGCCCATTCCAGAGCGCGAATTCTGTACTCATGGAGGACTTTTTGGATCAATTATACAACCGATGTAAAAAGTAGTTGTAGCAGTTGCATTGCTTCTTTTTGCTTTGATTAGGAATCGATCCAATAAGTCAAAAATAACCAAGGCAAAAGCTAAATTCTGTAGTAGTGTTTTCTAAATAGAAAGAGGAAGGAGTCTTGTTGACCAAGAGGTCACGAGTTTGGACCTTACATTCACCGCCCATAAATAGACGTGTTAGAGTATAAAATCTTTTTTAAACTCACAACCACATGCTTTAGCTTTGATTGAGTTGCAACCAATAAAATAAATGTATGTCCATTGGATGAAATGTTAATCTTTTTTTTGGTGTATACAAGCCTGAATATAATGCTTGATCAAGCTTTTGATAGAATTGATTTCGTAGAATATTTGAATATGAAATATTGCTTAAATATACAATTATAAGGTTTGAGTATATATAGTGCAGGTGGATTACATCCTCGGAAATAATCCGATGAAGATGTCGTATATGGTGGGGTACGGCGACAAGTATCCCCAACGAATACAACATCGCGGGTCTTCGTTGCCGTCCATTGAGGCCCATCCCCAGCACATTGGATGCAAAGACGGGACTCCATACTTCCAGAGCCCAAAGCCCAACCCAAACATTCTTATTGGGGCACTGGTGGGAGGGCCCAACGACGGAACGGACCATTTTCCAGATGATAGAGTTGATGCGGGCCAGTCCGAGCCCGTTACTTATCTTAATGCGCCTTTCGTCGGCCTCTTGGCTTATCTCAAAGCAAATTCCCATTAATAAATTATTTGATGGGCTATTAGCTAATTAATTAATCAAGATTTATACGGAGTGTATAATTAAAAATGTTCAATTTATTTCGCTGTTTACAATTTAGATACGCGCCAAAACTCATGCTCCATAGAGTGGATGGTGTGTTGTGTATGTTGTGTTGTATATTGTAATTGTAAAAAAAAATAAATATAAATTTTTAGGTGTTCATTTTATGTACTCCCTCTCTTAATTTAATTCATCTCTTACTGTTTACGATATTTGACTGCTATTATTTTCATTATGGAGTATATATGATGAATTTGTAAATATAATAAATACATTATTCAATGCTCACTCTTAGTATTTTATTTGAAAATGTGTATGGAGTATATAATTTAAATAAATAAATGTTAAATAAATTGATATGTCAAAATTGTATCCTAACATGAACATAATTATATTGAGTTTACATCATAATTAAATATAATTTTTTTTTACAATTTATATGCAAAGAGTGTTACTGTTTAATTAAAAAAATTAAAATAGAAAGAAGTTTTTAGGAGGGAGGAATATAATTTAGTGATTTGTTTGCGGTAGCCGTTGGATGTGGAGTACTTTAAATTCAGAATTTAATTGAAAAAAAAATCATGAATCCTTATTGGAGTCGTGGAATTGAATCCTTTGAAACAAACCATTAGCGGAATCTAAATCAGAAGAGTGGCAAAGTTGTCTCTTACTTTTCTGTGTTTTTCTATGAATTTCATACTCAATATTTGTATAGCAGGTTTAGTTTAATTTCTCTTATTATAAACTACTTCCTCCGTTCTCAAAAACTCTTCCTCTTTCATTTTTTTTACTTCCAACAAAACACTTCCACTTTCTATTAAAAACCCACTTTTACCCTTACTTTTTCATACCCTACCTATCACATCTTACTTTTTCTCTAATACTCAATCCATCACATCAAGGGCAAAATTGGAAGTCAACTACAATTTAACACTTCCTTATTTTTACACAAAGTCAAAATAGGAACACTTTTATAGAATGGAGGGAGTATGAGTTTTTCAATTTAGTTCCATCCTTTTCTCCGTTTATGTTTGTATGAATTTGGGTGGTGTGTTTAAGTTATGATAATGCAGACCGGATCTTAGAAATGCTTTAATTATTCACTTGGTGTTGATGAATTAATACTCCATGTTTTTTTTTTTGCAGAGAGATTGACAAAAGTCACAATGATGGAAATTCCCAATGCGAAAGACAGACACATGAATCTTGTTACCCACAAGAGAATGAAATCATCATCATCATCTTCCTCATTTTCTTCCCATCAGTTGTTCAACGGCCTGAGCGAAAGCTTGTTGTAGTACCCCGGCTGCCGAATACCATGCCCATCAGGTTCTTGATTTAAGTTTTCTTCCCCATCCGCAAAGCGAAATTGAGGTTAAAGCTTCATTTGCACATAGATGGGAATGCCATCTGCAACTTGCATGATTCTTCTCTATGGCTTTGCAACACCCAAAACGGAGCCATGATTCGATTGCACAAGTTTGCCCCTGCTTTAAGTTTGCCTCGCCTTACTGTCCATCCGGTTGTTAATCAGTTGTGGCCAACACCAGTGCCACCACCGTTGCCTTTGCGGCCTTGCACGGGCGAGGGTAAGATCTTGTTCATGTTCTCATTACCTCGGGTAATGTATGTTTGCGTACACACACCCTACCCGGTCTCACTTTCGTGGGATTTGCTGAATCTGTCGTTGTTGTAGTGATATTCTTTCGACCATAGTTGTGGTAGTGTTCTTGGGTTCTCATTCTCATTTCATCTTATTGTTTTTTTGTGATATTTGCAGATTGTGGAAATACAAATACTACGGGAAAACTGAAGAAGAAAGGGAGGGAAGCATAGACTTCACCTACTTCGGGGATCTATTTATGTGCCTTAAGTTTCCTTTAACTCCCTAAAATGGCTGGTTACTACTTCAGGCATCAATTAGCTTATGTTTGTATATTCTTTTTTACATGGTCTATTTCATAAAATAAAATATTCTTGTCATCATTTATTTTGTAAAACTTTCGATGTAGTCTTTTAATATGTGATTTATGGAGTACTTTTTATTTTCATACATATTTGTAAATGAAATCTATTTAAAAGAGTTGATATTTGGCACGTTGTTCGATGATAAATTAGGTAGTAGTAGTAGTTAATATGCCCTATGATTTGTATTTGAATTTTAGTCTTTCAACCAAATAATTATTTTCCGTCTTAAATTGAGTTATCTGATTACTATTCTCATGTCAAACTTCATTCACCTTTTTATCCTATTTTCATTAGTCATTTGAAAAAAAAAATATAGTCATGCAAGCATTAGTTTTGTAAATCTTTTCATTTAGTTTTTAAATATGTAATTTTTATTTTGTAATTATACAATGTTTTTCATATAAAATAATTTAAAAATAACTTCAATCAAACATCGTAAATCGGAACAAGTAATTTAAATTGGGACGGAAAGAGTATTACTTTGTATGATTCATTTCGATTGTCTCCAAACAATGTTCTATTCCATTCATTTTTTTAGTCTTAACACTTTTTTTTTGAAAAAATCGTCTGTCTTTTTAGATGCATTGAAGTATTTTATATTAGGAATTTGCTTGGATAAGATTTTTAAGTACTTTTTTAATTATTTAATTGGATAATTATTAGGAATTCCATTTATTTCATTGGTCTTAACAATATCTATTTAATTGGATGATTATTTAATTAAGCGACTTTTTTATACGATTTAGTACTACTTTAAGTCTTCTGACATTTTCCAACCCCTTTTAGATTTTTTTTAAATCCTTCCAATTTTTTTAAACATTTAATTCTCAAATTTCAACTAAAAAAAAAGGACCTAAGAGGTTTATATACAAAAAAATGATGTGCGACGAACAAAAATATGAATATATATACGGGGGGAGATCTACTTTGGGGGTTTAATTCTCTATTTTTATTTTTCCGGTTCAAATATTGGTGTGTCCCTACTGGCCCAGTCGATTTCCAAAATTGTAAGCCCAAAATATTTATTTTCCGCACGAAGTCACAGACCCCCGCCACCAGGCCCTGGCGCCGCACCGCCGCTGGATCCTCCTCGCCGGCGGACAAACCTAACCTCGCCACCGAAGGTAACGGTTTGTGCTACTTCAGATCCTCCCCATCCGAAGCCTTCTTTATTAATCTTCTGTGTTCTTATATGATTTGCTACTTCAGTTGTATTAGGTTTAATTTAATTTCTCTATTTTATACAAAGTATTTTTTTCATTTTAATTTCCAATCAGTCTTTCTTTAAATAAAATTATCAAGCATACTCAAATAGTGAATTAAATGTGCTATTCTAAATGGGGGTTAAGAATGGAAAAGATGTATAAATCACCCAGCTAAAACATATAGAAAAGTACCAAAATAGAACTTTCATGTTTTTTTCTCGAAATAAAACTTTGCATTGTGATAATGCGACTTTGCATTGTGGTAATGTGGTAATGTACACGTGCACATTACTATACTTTTTTGGTAATGTATATCACCATATTTGATAATGTAAGTGCTTTTTCGAAAATAAAAACATGGAAGTCTGATTTTTTATGCTTATTTTTTATGCATTCGTAAAGATGGAGGGGAGTACAAATTAAGCAACCGGAAGGAAAGTGTGTGGTACGCATCATGTGTGTTGTCTGGTGTGGTGTCCCAATCATAAACCATGCCATACCATTGTGACATTGTTCTCGTTGTCCTCCCAATTATCAACATTTATTTATTCTATTCCTAAAAAGTATGGGATGGGCACTCCGGGCGTTCACATAGAATGGTAAGAGATAAATCATTGTATAATCTCAATCTGGTTTTAGAGAGGTTGTTATGTGTTTGGTGTGCACAAAAAAGTTATTACGAGGGTGTTTGAGAGTGACTAGCTTATTGATAAAGTGATTTCTACAAAAGCTGAAAGGAAAAACACCTCATACCTGCTTTTCCGAAATGGTGTTCCATGTACAAAATAATGTAGGTGAAAAGCAGAAGCTGACATGCCAAACAGAGTAAAATCACTTCCACTCAAAGCAGAAGCTAAATTGTTAAAAGCAGCGCACTGCCAAACATCCTCTACAAATAATAGAACTCTCACACTTTCGCTATCGAGATTCGACCTTAATACCAATAAGTTTGACATCATCCTCTTGAACCAGGTGAGCTAGTCATGCGAGTTTTTTACTCTATTCCGAAACTTGCAAGTCTGGTGCCCAATACATGCCTAATTCCCCTTTACTTCCAATTTCCAAATTAAATTTTATTTTACGAGAGTATGCCTTCTGTTTCAAAAGTAACTAGTATCACACCCGTGCGTTGCACGGGTCATTTTTATGTTATTAAATTCAAATTATTTTTCAATGATAAAAATGAGATTCAATAAAATATAGAGATTATATTATTTTAAGGTTAAAAACATCATTGTTTTACAAAATTCGAAAGACTTCTTTATAGACTACATTATTGTACAATTTGTGGGGATATTTATAGTATATTTAATTGTAATAGGCTATAGGCTATTATAATTATAATTATAATAAGAAGGGTTAACTTTTTTCGAAATTGGGTGTAATTATTCTTACCATAATTATTTTTTTTCGAAACTGGGTGTATAATTGTATAACTTACCTTTTTAAATTATTTCCAATTTTCAAAAACTTACTCTTTGCATTTGTATAACTTACCTATATTAAAAATATACGCTTTGGATTTGTATAACTTACATTTTTTAATATGGTAATTATTATAAATATAATATTTTATTAACTTCCGATGGCTTACCATTTTATATTACTCACGTTAATTATTATAAAAATAATTATATTAACTTCC